ATACAAATAAATTAATTTTTATGTAATTTTAATATTAATGTACATAACTTCACATGGTTATATATGTATAATCATTCTTAGGAGAAAAAAAAAAAAAACTTGACCCCTCCTGACTCCAGGTCCTGAATTTGCCACTGCTTAATACTATATGCTGAATGCGGCAGTAGATCAATAATTGCCCGATAACTGAGCTGCGAAATTTAGGCGACGATTTTCTGTGGAGGACGAATAATTGAATGCACTAATCATTTCATTTGGTAGGGTATTTTAAAATATTTAAAAATCGAATAACTTATCTTTGCGTAAATTCCCAATAATTTATTTCAGTCTCTTCTTGTTCTCTAGTCCAAATTCAATGGGTGCGTATCATTTTTCCTTCCCCCTCCCCCACCTAAAGTTGAATTGTTTAAAATGTAATAAATAGAAGCGTGATTCTGTTTTGATGATATATTTTGCTAAGTATTTTCTTTTGTATATTCGAATAATTTTGAGAACACCGCATCGATGTGATATTAAACATTAACTAAATTTTTCATGGAAAGTAAAACTTCATTTAATTATAAAGTCAAGTGACCCTTACAACCAATAATAACAAAAATTCAAAAAAAAAAAGTAAACACTACTAAAAATTAGATAATACATAACACCTTTTATATAATGGTTATTGAAAAAAATAGTTATATAATTAGGGCGGGACTGGGGATTGGAAAGTGGAGACTATATAGCAGCTATATTATCTAACCGTTGTATAATCTCACACTTTATATAGTAATTATTAAGTAAAACTATTAAATATTACATTTAAAAAAAATTACCTAAAGATTATATAATGGTTGTTTATAATCAAGCGCAATATAGTCTTTTAAATTATATAATGGTTTAAGTGACCATTATATAATAACATAATTATTTTATATTTAAATGCCGAAGATTGTATGTAACACTCCTTTTAAAAATAAAGCAAATAATTAAAAAAATTTGTTAATAAATTCATTTTTTATGATCTTATCCTAAAGAGCCAATAGAAGCACACCAAAAGCCTATTTTAATGGAGGGCATTTCTACTCAACGACCTAACAAAATATCAACAAATGAGATTCAACATTGGTAAATGAATACAAGATAATAAATTGAAGAGTTCAAGATGACATAGTAGATAGCCCCCACAACAGTCCAAACCTCAAAAGTTTACAAAAGAGACAATAGGGGGATTATGAGTTAGAAGGGGTTACACAGTCAAAGCTTGAACCAAACTTGAACAACAACACCTGAAGACACCTAAGGATATATATATATATATATATATGTATATATTCAATCTATATAATGTTGCCCTTATTACCTCGGTACATGGCTAAAATCTCCAAAATAATCATGGACTAATTCATACAATTACCCAACCATAAGTATAAATCTTAACTATAGTTAAAATAAACTAACTGATATAGAAAAGAAGAGCCCAAATACAAAAGTCTACTATAGTTAAAAAAGTTTACAAGTATTGAAACTCATTTCAAAATCAAGTAATTCAACTTCAAGTAAAGCACAAACTTTTCAAAGTTAGGGATCCCAAATCTTATACTTAAATACTGTGAAAACAGTAACCAAATTAAATTGGAATAATAAATATGTGTAAAAGCATGGGATACCATTTGTATAAGGAATAGATGGAAATAGATTTTTAAAATTCCAAGACAACACAAATGGGAGGGTCCGTTGCGACCAAATTCTAGTAATTTCATTGTCATTGATAGCAACATGGTTGAACTTTTGACATGACCAAATTCTCCATCTGATATCTGATTAAAATAATCTAGGTATTTACAAAAACCTCCTTACAAGATCTAGCTAATATCATTTATTCACTTTCCAATTTTATCTCATTCAAAAGTTGGACATCCATTTGCAAAATTCCCACATTTTCTTACTTAAATCACAATCCAAGTATCTAATACTCTAACCGAATGCCAAAAGCTCAATTTTACCCCTATACCAATTTGAATGGACTAAAAACAACATGTGCAATACACTACCACACTCATGTAACATATATATCTCAATTTTAATCTTTAACCCCTTAAACTCAAAAATAGAAGGAGGAAGTCAATTGCATTTCAATTATCAAAATAACCAAGTAGTCACTCTGCACTAGCATCCACATAACTACTATCACACTTACACTAGTATTTTGATTATGCTCATTAAATCAAAGTATAATACATATGTCTAAGGGCCCAAAATACAATCAAATCTCACATAATGCAAATGGTGCAAGTGTTATTAAAATGTACTACTAGTTGGCAAAAATCAAATCTAAATACACTTATACTAGCAAAATAAGAGGCCTACAACTGGAAAACATGATTCCTTAAGCCTCTTATTTTGCCAGTCCCTATAATATGTTAAGAGAAAAGTGAAAACAACTACTTAGTAACTAATGTACATATATCCTATATAAATGCAAGTTAATCAATTATAGTAAAATAAAGTAGGCATTTTTAGCATACATGATTCACACTATAACAGTAAGCATCATGGTCACAATAATATAACTAGGTGATATATCATAATACTATGCATGATCACACTTTCATTATATCCTCCTGATACCTCCTACTAAAATCGTGAGCTATTTAATCAAATGAGTTTGTTTATGCAAATCAACTACCTAAGTTTTTCAATTATAAGGAGCCACCTGGCTAATAATATTACACTCACTTTTGAATCACAATTTTTCCTAAATCACACCTTATGAGGTGTCATAACCCTAAATCATTATTCTTGTTAAATAAGTAAAAACTATTTAGGTTTGGGTTCCTCAATACATCATGAGATAGTCCCTCATTGAATAAGTGGGATAAAATAAATGATAAGTCATCGAGCTTCAAATGTTAGCCATACCACGTGGTTTTATATTACTACTACTTTTTATAGGTGAACCCTTACAAAATATGATTATTTATATATGTTCTTTATACTTTGGCAAAATATATTTAATTTGGCCAATTTTAATTTTTGGTTAACTTTAGCTAGTTTAGCTTGCAATATGTTTTATTTGGTAAATTTTTTTGTAATTACTTTAATGTATTAGCATTTTTTAAAATAATTTTGAAGTACTTTTAAATAGATTTTAAACATTATTATATGTTTGAATAATTTTGGTTTTAATTGTATAAAAAATTTGGTTGAAATTGTAACTGAATTATTGGATTGCAATTTTGGAAATGCATGTATATTGTTTGTTATTGTAGGGGTATTCAAAATGCAACCCCACAACAACCAAAAAAACTAAACTAAACTATATAGAATTTATTTTAAAATAACCACTATATTGTTCAATCTATATATAATATAACGGTTAATAGTATGTTGAGAAAACATAAAAAAAATTAAATAAATAAAATATACTTTTAATCCTATAACTTTATATAAAGTTTTAATTTAATTTTTTTAATTTTATGAAGTATTTTTTGTTGGTTTCAAAAAAATTTTTTTGTAAATTATTATTATTTTAAAAAAATTAAACTTAATATATTAACATTTGAAAATATTTTGTCAATATTTAAAAGTTTAATATAAATATTTGTTGAAATAAAACAAGCAGTGTTATGATTCAACGATTTAAAAGATGCTTTATAAAGTTAAGAGAATAAAATAAAACATTATTTAAAGTTAAATGATTAAATGTATAATTTAACTTAACTAAAATTGGGCCTGCTTTTATGACAATTCCTTCTAAATAACCATTACTCCCTCCGCTCAAAAATATAAAATATTGTTTTAGAAATTGAACGTTAAAAAATGTAAGGCATTTTTAATTTTTTAAGGTATAATTATTATTTTTTTTTAAAAGTGCTTCTATTGATAATAACTTTATATTTATTGTAGAGTTTTTACTAGAGATAAATATAAAAAAATAAAATTAATTAAAAAGTAAGTAATTACTTCATTGGAGGATGAGATTCGGTTAAAAATGCTTTAAATTTTTAAATGAAGGAAATATATATTAAGCAACTATATAGTGATTATTCTCATAAAATCATTATATAGTTGACTGAAAGTTTTATTAAAATCAAAACTGGAGATATCTATATAACAGTTTTTTTTTATAAATAATTGTTATATAGATTTAAAAAATTACTATATAATTGCTTCTAGACTATATAGTGTCAAAATATATAATAATTAAAAATCATTATATCTCATATATAAAATTTGTGGGATTAAAGCTTATCGTTATATATAATATAAAGTTTTAATCTCTATATAGCAATTATTTTTATATATTAGCAAAAATAACCACTATATAGAGATTATTATTTTAGCAGTGAAATATCTTTGAAACAATTACTTCTAATCAAGTTTAACAATACTCAAACATGACACTATTAGATAGTTGTATAAAAAAATGAGTATTTTATAATTTGTATTCTCTTTATTAAAAATATAAAATATTTTTAATTAAATCTCAACCTTTAATAAAATAGTTAATTATTTTAAACTTATTATATTTTTATTTATTTTTATTTAATAAAGTATTTTACTTTAAAATAAATAAAAAATAATTTATTTATTATGAACACTTATAAAAATTGTATTAATTATATATTAAAACATTAAAAATCCTTTACATTTTCTTTTACAATCAATTCCTTAAAACAATTACCTTATAACACGAGCAGATTTCAAGCATCCATGAGATGGGAAAATTCAATAATGCAGATTTCAAGCATCGCGATCTCGAAATTTTTTTCAGCAAAAGGAAAAGATAACGTCCCAAATTGTTGGACGGGACTACAACACTGTTGGATCCATAAGGCCATTGGTGCATCCATCTCGATAAGCAAAAGGCGTAAATAAAAATTACACATGACTCAGTTATTTAGGATACAAGTTTCAAATTCACGGATCAAAAACACATGACCACTTTTACCAGTCAACAGATTAAAGCGATTCCGCCAATAAAACCGAGCTTCACAGTTCACCCCTGAATTAAAATATACATTCCTCTTCTTGTGTAATATTCCACCATGGATCATCGTATTCTGTCACTCTGTCTTTTTCCCGGGGAAAGCCAAGAAGAAAAGTTAGAAAATAAAATCCCCCGACGAGGAGGAGAGAGAAGCATGAGTGGTCGCATCGTTTTTAACACTCGAGCCGACACCCATTTTAGTCCATAAAGTTAGATGTTTTCGATGCTCTGTTCTCGCCATCTCCACTTCCCACTCCTATCTGCTGACCAACTCCTCACACTCTCTCGCCCTTTCTTTCTCAAATCTGTTAATCCCGAAGCAGAGTAATCAATAGTTTCAGACCAATAAGTTGAAGAAGAACGGGGGCCAATGGATCCGTGTCCCTTTGTGCGGCTTATGGTTGAATCGCTGGCTCTGAAGCTTCCATCGGCAACCAAACCCACACCCGGGTCGGGTGTTCACCCATCCGCCACTCCCTGCTTCTGCAAAATCCGGATAAGTTATTTTCCGTCTCAGACTGCTCTGCTCCGTCTCTGTTCTTCAGCCAGTGACTCTGCGCCGGAATCCACCACCTCTGCCGCCGGTTTCCACCTGGACTACGACTCTCTCCGTCGTTTTTCTGGCAAGCCCGTCAGCCTTCGTATTTCCGTCTACACCGGCCGGATGGGTCACACCTGCGGCGTGAGCGGCTCCAAGTTACTTGGTCGTGTTTTTGTGAGCATTGACTTAACCGATGCTCTGTCTCGCCCCCATACCTTCCACAATGGGTGGCTCCAGCTGGGGAAGAACGAACCGTTCAAGCCATCGGCCCAGCTCCACCTGGTGGTCCGGTCTGAACCCGACCCACGCTTCGTGTTCCAGTTCGGCGGCGAACCAGAGTGCAGCCCCGTGGTTTTCCAGATTCAGGGGAACATCAGGCAACCCGTTTTCAGTTGCAAGTTCAGTGCGGATCGAAATTCCAGATCACGGTACGGCCTCATTGTCTTTTTCGTATTTCCCAAAGTTTATCCGCAAACCCTTTAATTTACCGTTACGTACTTTTCATAAAGAAATTATATTATACATTGTGGCCACACTTTAATCCATTTCATCATGCGTATATGGCAGACTCAGCGTTGAAATTGTTTGGTCAGAGCCGTATATGTGATTTGTGAATTAGCTGTTTTGACGGAGGTTTAGATGAATTTAGTGGTGGGACATTTAAATGGTAATAAGGTGAGGGGTGAATAATGGATTAAGGTGAGGACTAGGCATGTGGGCTGGCTTGTCTATATCTTTAGCTGGTACCAGCCATCATCACATGCAAAGACAGGGTCTCATCATCTTTGTGCGTCATCATTTCATGTTACTTTCATTTCTTAGTTGTTATCTCTTCTGTGATTATTTGGATTTTCGGAGCATGTCGTAAGCTTTCATTCATTCTTTTCTTGTTCCGATCCATGAAGGAAACATGAAAGCTGCCAGTTCTGCCACGCTGATTTCATGGATTGGGAATTTTGTTCCCAGTTTCACACACTCTACTCCTGCGTTCCAATCTCATCATTCAGATAGCCTTTCCTGTTCCTGAATGCCATGGCACTTTCGGAATTTTCTTGTTTTCAGAACTACATTGTCTTTAATCAGCTCTTCTTTTTATTTATTATTAACTTATGGATTACGGAAAAGACACAATCGTAAATGAAACGATTTCGTGCAGACTCCTTGCTTCCTGAATATAAAACATCATTGACCGTAATCTCTAAAAGCCCCTAATCTTGTTTAGTTTCTTAACATTTTCCTCCACCTTTTTATGCCTGAGAATCAAAGTGCAAATCATTCCTTTTTTGTCCTTCACTTTGTTTAATTGTATTCCTTTTCTCTCTTGATTCCTCCCGCGCGCAGATGAAGTCAATCCCTTCCATTAAGATTAAAAAAACATCATGTGTGATCCTAGGCTGCGCACCCAGTTTTAGTTATAGTCAAACAGACAGTTTGAGATCTTCCAAACTGTGAAACATAACTACCTCCGATTCCCTGCCATGTTCTCGTATTTCTGGCTGTACTTTCGAATCTCTTCTCATTTGATTAATTATGATCCCATCACATTTTGACATCTTAATCAAGTTGTTATATTGAACTGATAAATGAAATCATTATCCTGTTTTTTTAATCCAGGTCGGTTCCGTCAGATTTTACCAACAATGCAAGCAAGTGGAGAAGGACATTCACAGGTGATAGAGATCGGCACGGGAGAGAGAGGAAAGGTTGGATGATAATAATACACGATCTGTCCGGCTCTCCGGTGGCCGCGGCCTCCATGATCACCCCCTTCGTCCCTTCACCCGGGTCGGACCGCGTGTCCCGGTCCAACCCCGGAGCCTGGCTTATTCTCCGACCCAACGGCGCCTCCGTGAGCAGCTGGAAACCGTGGGGCCGCCTGGAGGCTTGGCGTGAAAGAGGTCCCACGGATGGGTTGGGATACAAGTTCGAGCTGGTCACCGAGAACGGACCTGCGAGCGGGATTCCCCTAGCTGAAGCTACGATGAACATGAAAAAGGGTGGTCGGTTCTGCATTGATTATAGGGCGATGAAGGATTCTGGGTTGGGTTCGAGGCTGGCCGGAAAAGGGTTCGTGATGGGTTCGACGGTGGAGGGTGAAGGCAAAGTGAGCAAACCTATTGTACAGGTGGGAGCACAGCACGTGACGTGCATGCCTGATGCCGCTCTCTTCATCGCCCTCTCCGCCGCCATTGATCTCAGCATGGATGCCTGCAGGCTTTTCTCCCATAAACTCCGGAAGGAGCTTTGCCACGTCGATCATGATTCCTTTCCGTGACCTTATGTATCTGTTGATTAATCAATCACCACCAATCCATCAGTTTTAATTTCCTTCTCATTCTTTCCGCGCGCTGATTTTGTCTCTCGTATTTATATATATCTTGAACATTCTTTCTTTCTTTCATTTTTGCCTTCATATGATCCTGGGAGTGGACTTTCTTTCGGTTCGCCTGGGTTATATATGAAGGTTGGTTTCTAGTTATGGCTCTGCGAATTTGCTTCTTCGTCCAAGAGTCACAAAAGTGTTGCTGCCTTGCTGGTTTTTATTTTTATCATGGTGCGTACCTGTAAAGCTTGCCTGCGGGTGGGTTTTTCTCAGTAGCGGGCTCGCAGAGTAGGAGAGTGATTTCACTGCATTGTTTGATGCTCGGATGTATAAATCTAAACACAATATTTGAACTGTACAGACAGATTCAATGCAAATGTTCATTTATATATATATATATATATATATTTATTTATTTATTTATTCATAGGCTCATTTCATGTCTACACCATCAAATTTCGAATTCGAATTTCTTGCGGGTTGACAATCATGATCTCAGGTCTCATGAAATCCATTTTTATGGTCCGTTTACCAAGGACTGGATAGTGCTGATGATTTGAGCTTAGTCAACCCATTTAAGCTCAATAAGCACTAGCACCAATCCTAAAAGAAAAAAAACATTTAAGGGTTTGAGGCTAATCCGGCTGTTCCAAACAAGTCTGAGCCGACAGTGGGTAGAAGCCCACCCAAAATTGCCATCCCCTAGTGATCGAGTGTGATGTTCATTAAACTATCGTGGATTTATATTTATATGTTGGGTCCAGTTTCCATGCTCATTCCAAAGATGAGTACATGATGAGATCTAAAAATTTAAATGGTCCAGATTAAATTTAGATAAAATATTATTATATATTATATTTATTAAAAAAAATTATAAAATTTATAAAATAATTTTAATAAATTTTTTATTTTTAATATAGTCTAGATTTAATTTAGAGGGTTTAATTTAACATTAAAATTTTTATAATTGATGTATATTAATAATTCAAATGTATTTTGTATAGTCCTAAACTGCACAAAGTATTTTCTAAATAATTAATATACATTAATTATAAAATTTTTAATATTAAATTTGACCCTCTAAATTAAATCTAGACCAGAATTAAAATAAAAATTTATTAAAATTATTTTGTAATTTTTATACATCTTTATTTAAATAAATATAATATATAATAATATAATGATAATACTTTAAATTTAGATCATCTAACTTAAAATCTGAAGGAACATCATGTGCTCATTCTTGGGATGAGTAGGGAAACTAATTCCATATTTATATTTATATATGAATATCTACAAATTATGTTGACATGTACGGCTCAACTAATGAATTGTCTAATGTGTTTTGGCCCCAAAAAAATGAATTGCCTAATGTATGGTGAAGGTCCAGTGCAAATGGGACAATAATAGCATAGCATAGCATAGCCGTGGCATGTGGTGTGGTTGTAAGGCACTCAGGTGGGCCATGCTGATTTAAGTCAGGTTTAATCCGAGACAGATTTAAAATATCTTATCCTAATTAAAAAGTTTATATAGTCAAACTCGACCCTACTACTTTTGTGCTTATTTGAGCCGTTTGAATATTCAAAACTCTTTAAAAATATTTTTTATTTATTTTTAAATCAATTTTAGTTTTTAAATAATTCTATTAAGCATAAAATATTACTTTAACTTTAAAAAAATAAAATAAAAAATAATAATTTATTAATTTTGTACTTAAGTAACTCTATTACTATTTTATTGTATTATGTATAATTTATTCATGAATGTTTTCTTTACTTATAAATTAATATTTTAATTGTTTAAATATTACTTTTATCATGATCATACATAAATATTTTATATATTTTAATTAAATTATATTATTTTAATTATGATCAAGTTAATCTCAATTTTATTATAGTTTGACCACTAACTTAAAATTATTGCTTTAACTAGTTCAAAGTTTTTAATAACTTTTGAGTAAATTATGCTTTTAATTTTTAAAAATATGAGAAAAATAGTCATCAATATATTATATAAAACAAAATTATTTAACTATGAGTAAAATATTGTTTTGAATTATTTTTTAACCTTTTATATTGTTTAATCCATGTATACAAGAGGTATTTATTATAATTTATTCTTAATTTTTAACTAAGTTTAATGTGGACAATAACCAAATAATAATTCAAGAATATTGTTCTATTTATTTTATTTATCTAGTAGTAGAGTCAAGAATTAGTATAGGACTCAAAACTTTTTAAAAAAATAATTGAGTCTTAAAATATAAAAATTAATATTAAAATATATTTTAAATATTATTTTCAAATATTGTATTTATTAAAAATAATAAAAATATGAAAATATAAATATTTTAATTTTTTAAAAAAAACTATAGTATGCATTCAAGTACATGTTATTTTAGTATAAAATGACATAAAGCTTTAAGATTTAATTATATTTATTATATTTTATGTATTTTTAAAAATATTATTTTTTATTTGGGAATTTGAGCCAAGCCTAATTCAATCAGGCTTGGGCTAAATTTTTTTAGGCCTATACGGGTTGGCCTTAAGATTAAAAAAATATTTTTTCAAGCTTGACCATAAATTTTTCAGGCTGATTCAAACCGGCCCATCGAGCTTTGCCCAAATTACCTGTTCTATGTGATTGGCATAAAATATATTATTAAAAATGGAGAATCTTATTCATGAAGATGAGAAAAAAATTATTTGCAGATAAGAACTAATAAATAATTTATTGTTGTTAAAATGGGAATATAACCACCATATTTATTCATAAAAAATTCATTCCTATTTCAAACCCTAAATTTTTCATAATTTTAAAATGAAAAACACGAGAGAAAATCTAACTAAAAAATATTTAACACACTTATACAATCTTAAAATACTTAAAATATTATCTAAAGTATCATATTATAAAGTCTTATCTTCTAATCCAACCCCCCTCTCTCTCTCAGTGTCTCTCTCTCTCTTAAATCTTCACACTAAACACACACCGGTTCCAATCTGTCCCCCCTTTCTTTTTTATTTTACATTCCTTTTTTTTATTAATCCCTCTTCTTTTTTATAATAATAATATTTTTATTTTTATTTTATAAAAAATCATAATTTAGGATTTGGATTTTATTTTAGATTAAATTCAATGATAATCCCTAATTAAATTATTCATATTTAAATATATATTTAAAATTACCCATTTGCCCTTCAATAGCTTAATTAATTTTGGATTAAATTTTGGGATGTTACAAATTGAATGGATGAAAGAAATAAAGATAAAATAAAAATGACCAAGGTGTGGAGAAGGAATAAGTCAATAATGTATATGAAGGGAGAAGGATAATTTAATCCATAAGATTGAAAGTTATAATTGGTGAGGTTTGTGGTAGGTATTGTAACATCTTAAAAATTTAATCATAGTTAATTAACTTAATGAGTATAATAAGTAAGTTGATAAGGTGTATAGCTAGAGGGACCTAATTAGTATAATTAATTGTGATTTCAGTCTTAAAAGTGGGTTTGGAGTGAAGTCAGGTCGCCCAAGAAAGAAAAGAGGAAGAAAAAGTAAGAAGAAGCCCTCTGTGTCACATGTTGTAGAGTGTGGTTAATTCATTGTGGCACATAGAGGCATATTTAAATGCAACAAGCTTCTCTGTGGTGTATGGCCAAAAACTTGATTTAATCAGTTTATCTTTGCATGCAAAATCAGAAAAGGAGGAAAGGGAGAAAACGAAAGGCACTTTTTGAGGTCCTACTAAGGCACGATATTTGATCCTATTGGTGATATTTTGAGGCTCTCAAACACTTAAGGTGAGTAGTTCATGCTTTTCTCTCCCATTCTCTCCCTCATCAATGAAGGTTTAAGTTGGAATGTTGATTTTCGGTCTATAAGAGTTATAAGGCCAAACCCATTTATTAAAATAGATATAATAGGAGTTATTTAAATTATTTAAACCCCGTATTAATGATTTTGTGTATAGTTGTTGAGGGAGAGCCATTAATATGTAAAAATTACAATTAATATGGTTGTTGAGAGAGTTTGAGACTCATTAATAATGGTTTAAAGACTCAATGGAAGTAAGGTGAGTCAATGGAACCTAATGGATCAATTGGGTATGAATGGGTAGAAATTTATAGGATTGAAGAATAGAAAAATGTGGAATTCATATTAATATAATCCCTGAGGGTGAGATTATGTTGATATCTTTGTAATGTGATTGTAGATTATTGTTATTGGCACCATTCAAGCCTGTGAGAAGCTTTGGAAGTTGGTATTTAAGGGTAAACCTTTAATCTCTCAAAGGTTTGAGATAATTGGGAGAAACATATTCTATAAAGTTGTATGTTAATTTGAAAATTGTTGAATTTATATATTGATACTTGTTATGTAAATATTATTGATGCAATTTAGCAATGTGATGATTTTGAAATGAAAAAACCCTATGCATTCCATCCAATGTGATGATGTTGTGAAAATTCCCTTAAAAACAAAAGAAACGTCTGATTGATGGATGGACAGACAGACATTAGATACGGAGAGCACTAACACGTTGTTCGTGTGGATACTAGTAAAGGGAGCAGATCTTTATTGTCATCTCCTGAGATCCAACTACTTGAAGACAACACATGAGAAGTTTGAAATAGAAAGTAACTCTTTTATTCATCCTGACTTAAACAAGTTCGATCAGTCTGCAATTGTGATTAGTATTTAAATTTTTAATCTCTTGCTACGCCTACCAATCCATCAAATCTAGGCTATATAATCGCATATCAATTAATTATAGATATAAATGGCAATAATCTCACTATCATCATATCCACGTATTTCAAATATAACCTTAATCATAAAAATAACAACCATGTGGCAGGGCATGCAACATTTCATCAAATATATTTCAAACATATAAATCTTAGGGTCACAATAATAACAACTATGCGCTTGTAATGAAAGACATATCGGACCACAACAATAATAAACATGTGGTCAAAACTATAAATACATGATTAATGCCAACTTATACCTTTCTGATACCTTTGACATAAAATCGATAGCTATTTAGTGGTTATATCCACAACTTGGACTAACCCAGCCTTCCAACCGTGATAAGCTATCAGGCCAGAGCCAACTCACTTACTCGTGCTTCACAGTTTTCTCCAATACTAACAACCATGGTGTATCGTACCCTTAAGTTAGCCTCCTGATGAACTAGTGGAGACTAGTTAGGTTTGAGTCCCTCAAAAAATAAATGGGATAGTGCCTAATCAATCATGGGACATTGGCTACCTCTCAATTTTAACGGTCAATGTCAAGATGATTTTTCGATTCCAACGATAATTTGCCATTACCACATGAATTTACTAATCTACTCCTCTTCCTATAAGCAAATTCCCACCTCAATGATCA